CCAGACTCCAGTGGCACGTTGCTCGCTGCGTATACGCAATGTGCGCCCAACAGTTTCAATTACAACTTCATGAGGTGCGCCAGAGCGAGGGAATCTAATAAGTTTGCCCCTCAATGTTGTTTTTGCGATCCTGTGGATGACGTTATCCTTGGCCAGGATAATTAGCAGCGACACTTGACGCCGCGATTAATGCAATTTGATGGCCCGTGATTAATGCGTCGCCTGTCGTGTTGCAACTTTACGCAAAATTTGCTTAACAAATGGCCTAAGTCCTCCCCGAAATAATGTATTCAAAAAGCAAAAAGCGAGACAGTGGAGTGAAATAACAAAGAAAAGAAAATGTTTTTGTGTTCGCTGTTTAGATACGGACCATGAATAATGACATAAATTATCAACTTTCTGTGAGTTCTTCTCGTTGTCTTTATAAAAATCACAAATTTGATTTATTTTTCTTTCTGCTGGAGAACAAAAGAAGTGAAACAAAAGAACTTTTTCCTCATATTTACCTAGACATTAGGTTTTTTCATTTAGTACGTTTCGCTTGAATGTCACTTTTCTTTAAGAGTACTTCATGTTTCGCTGACACAAATCCCAATCAAAACTGGCACTCAGCCACTGTTAGCAGATTTATCTATAAAATGCTTAAATTATATAAGTAGCTCTAACTTTTATGGAGTTCTGCAACAACGTCGGTTTAAACTGGCTTCGTGTTTCTCTTCCCAAGTAGAACGCAAAGTAAAGTTTGTCAAACTTTTGTTTCAAAAGTCAAAGGCCCAGCAAGCTGATGAATGCGTTGAAAGGCAGGAGAGTCCTTTCTGCAACTGGACCACACCCGCATCCTTGAATCCTTGGGTCCTTGGGCTCTTATCGCCCGACAGTTGCAAATTTATATGCGCCAGCTTCCTTAAAGGCCAGCAGAGCACTAAAAGCTGAAGAGAATTATAAGCTGCCAGGCATTTAAAAACGCATAAATGTATTTTCCGGCGCGCACTCGCATAATGGAAAATTTATGAACTGCTTTGCGGCAGCAGGAAAAAATTAATTGCCGAACTGAAACAAGAGCATGGCCGAGTGTCAGTGGGAAAACTATTAAAAAGGCATCTTCGCCAGCCGTTCAAGGTGAAGTGGCAACAACTGGAGCAAGTTTTCCTCCACCTGCAACTGCCACTTCCGCCAGCAACTGCAACTGCAGCTGGCAAAGCAAAACCGAAAAAGCCAACCTGACTTCCTGTTTTTCCTGCTTTTCCTGCTGGCCAGGACCAAAACCAAGGATCGACGACCAAGGACCGACGTTCAGTAGCCGAAAATGGGGAAACGTCCGTTTTATAGCGGAAATATATTCTTGTGCGGAGACGCGCTGATGATTTATGTATGTTTTGGCGTTACGTGCTTTGTGTGCCATCGGAATTTAATTCCTGGCCAGGATACTCCAGCCGGGTTATTGCCCCTGCGGTTAGGCAGTTACTTTTCCATCGTCGTCTGTGTCTGGCTTTTGATAAAAAGTTAACCATCGCCAACTTTCTGGCCTCAACTTATCAGGAAAAAAATGTGGCTGACAGAAATGGGTTAAGCCCGAACAAATGCTGCAATCATTAGCCAGCTTTTTCCTTTAGGCCTCCGATGGCGAAAAGCCTCGCATAATTCAGGTTAAGTGCACTTCATATGCGTTTATGCTGACATTAAAACACATGCGATGGCTGCCAGGACTTTTCGCTGGCTAAAACCCCCTCTCCCCCCTTTCCCTTCTCTCCATTACAACTGCGAAATTAAAACTTTTTTATTGAAGTTGAGAGCATGCGTGCGTAGTCCTGGCTAAAGCAAATGCGAAAAAGTCAACAAAAAATAATAACAAACTTTTTTGCCAGAGCAAATGCAAAACAAAAATGTCGCACAAAGAGGAAAACTTGCAGCATTTCAGCGCAAATAAAATCCTGAAGCCGGGCTCCCAGTCCCAGCCATTAAGCATTGGAAAATAATTAAAAAGTTTTCGTCGGGCTAATGGAAATTGAATTGCGGGCGCGTCTTTAAAAAAAGACCAAACATTTTCATTAAAATTTCGTATAAATAATTCAAATGCAAAATAATAGCGGGCAAACACTTCTCGAGAAACAATAAATGTCCGAGAAGTTTATATTTCTTGGTAAAGAGTACTATGTATTAAATAAATTTTTAAAGGAAATAATTTTAAAAGCAATGTTTATTGTTAGAACGAAATAATAATAACTGTGGCGTTAATACGGACTAATTTAACAATTATCGAATGTGAAAATGAAAAAAACCGCACACCAGCGGGGCATTGTTAACGTCAATTGGCGGTATGGATATGCTGTCCACAAAAAATCGGCTGAATAATGCATTTCATTTAACGGAATTTCCAGGTTAACACTTACAACATCCCGCACGCACACACACACTCACTCACACACACACTCGCACACTCGCACTCCTGACAGGACCAACTGGCGTGGCACGTCAGATCACAGGACGTCGCCCACGCGCTGCATGCTCGGTTGCATTTTTTGGCAGCTCGCACGTGTTACCGCTCAACAGCTCCATCTGTACGTCCCCTCCCACCCACGAGAAAAACCTCTATCCTTCAGCGATTTCCACCCACCCACCGCCAGCTGCCATTTTTCCTGGTTTTTCCTTTTCCCACTGGCAGTGGCAGTTCACACGAGTGCACGGCATAATGCATTTATAAAGGCCGCCGAACAATGCCAACAGCCAGTCAGATAATTTCATTTCATTTCGCTACCGCGGGAATGCCGTTTCCGATTTACCACTAACCGTTTGTTTTTCTCGCACTTGGCACTGCTTTACATTCACTTTTGTACGTACACTTTCTCCATCCCTTTCTCCACCCCTTTCTCCACTCATTTATTTTATTTTTCCGTGGCGCCGTCGTTACGCTCGCCGTGCTGCGACTTTCAGTGGCACATGAAGTTTTATGACGACTCTTGTGCCGCGTGTCTCGCCAACTCGAGCCCGGATATCATAAGCGCTGTCACCGACCAGCAAAAGGATATACACGCAAAAAAACTTACCTTTCTCAGAGCAAATCATAGCGTAGAAAAAAACTTAGCCAATTTGATTCTAAAGAGTTATACATAAAAATGTTTGCAATGGAGCTCCAAAACAAACTGCATTTAAGCTTTTCTATTCTAAGAAGGTCTCCTGATGGTTTCCGGTTTTTAATAAAAACAATTTTTTTTCTCTGTGTAGCAGTCAACGCCTGCGTTTCAAAAGACAGAAGAAAAAGCGACAGTGACGCTGGCGTCTGCAGGTGAAGGCAAACAATGCAAATATTTGTATGCTCCATAACTATATAGCACACATATAGGGGATATATGCTGGGCGGAGGGTAAAGCAAGGCGTGCCAAGCGCACGATAAAAAGTAAAGTCTCCTTTTGTTTGGCAGCTAAAGTTGAAGTCTGCATTGATTCGTTCAGAAATCAGAGAGCACTTTAACAACAGTTTTTATGTATAAAAGAAGTTCTTCATTGGAAAAGAAATACCTTTAAATTTGTACAATCAAAGTGTGAACTTGCCTTTCTGTATTGATCTCCCCTAAAATACAATACTATCACCCAAAAAGTTGCCAATTAAAACAAGCCAAGCCAAACTCAATTTGCCGCATTTTAAATCATTTCACTCCAAAGTTGAACTATGCTAATTAATGGCAAAGTTTTCGGAGCCCAAAACCTAATTGCGGACATCTTTGCTCCAGATGCATTGTTAATAATGTTCCACTGCGATGACGCTCGTCCTGCTTCTCCTGGCTGAGGTTCCTTGTAGATTGCTCCCCGATATATATACATACTTGCGATATATATATGCGGGTATTTCATTATGTAGCTGTATAATTTCAATATGTCCGCAGTGCTGCCAATAAAATTTGCACAAGCAGAAAAAGGCAACGCAAAAGTTTTTGCCAACGAAGTGAACGATGCAATCATGTGGCCCGCACCCCAGCGTAGTTGTGTTTCGTAGTTTTTGTTTTTGTTCCATCTTTGCCACTTTGGGCTTGAGCTGGCAACAAACTTTATTAAAAAGTATGCAAGAAATTTTTGCATCTATACATTGCCCGAGTACAGAGTACAGAGTACGGAGCACTGAGTTCCGAATACCCAAAGGGCTGCCGAGGCATCCGGCTCTGGCTGAAAATGGAAGTTTGGACCTGGCTGCCAGCCCCATCCTGCCGCAACTTTTTCAGCCCCTCTCTTCAGATTGACACGAATTGGCAAAATGAAATTGCAATTTCTTGTGATAAATTTCAATGAGCATTTTGCCAGGGCGCAAACAAGAAGTGAAGGCCCGAGTTGCGGCAACGATTTCGCTTCGTTGAGTGCAGTTTGCTGTATGTTAGCAGTCGTTTCGCAAATAAAAATTGCCCACATAAATTGCGTGCCAACTGCTGATTTATGCCGAATAAATAAAAACTCCTTCGTTCGAATGCCTTTGAGAAACTGTTTTTAAATGTGTGCACCAAATGCTTGCAGACAATATTTATCAATTAGTGGCCAAGTGTCATAAACATGAACATGTGCACTTTTACACTAACTGGCTAACCTCTGTGGTCGGTTTATTATCCAAAAAGTGCAGCACATGAATTGTGAATTTGAGAGATAAGCTCTTAAAATCCAATAAAACAATTTTCTTTCCACTTCGTTAAATATGCTGCATTTTTAAGGTGCATTGGCATGAATAAATTGTTTGTAGACTTAGTTTTAATGTTTATGTTTATTCACAGTTTTTATGCTCTTTTTACAGGAATTTAAATTACTACAAATAAAGGCCTTATAATTTTTAAACTTTATAACTTTTATTCCGAATAGAGTTGTAGTTTTTAAGGGCATAAATTAAACTGAGCAGCCCGCCTTTGTATGCAAATGTGAGGCAGTTTCAGCAACTCGGCCTTAACTTTTGCGCTTACATTTGAAACACTGACTGCAATTAACGAGCTGTCACCCGGTGTCTTTGCCATCCGTTTGCCATTTCAGCTGTCGTCTGGGGCAACCACCACGAGAGCCTCTCCCTCAGCCCGGCGGAGCACAGTGTGGTGCGGTACACGGAGGAGTCGCTCATCGTCCAGTGCCGCAGCCCCAATAAAGATGTGGCGCTGCAGTGGAAATCGCCGAAAGGCGAAATTATACGCGAGCACAAAGGACGCATTCACATTGAGCAAACATCGCCAGGTAAGAATCATGTTGGGTGGGGTTGGGTTGGATTGGCTCGAATGGGATGGGATGAGCTAGATAAAACAGAAAGAAACACTGCAGGGGAACAGGGGAGTGACGGGGTCAGGGGTCACGGGGGGCGAATGTATACAAGGCCACTGGCACAACAAACCCAATTAATTGCAATTCTCTGCCCGCATTCCTTGTATCTGAGAATACCCAGTAGATGCAACGTTAGTGAAACAAACTAGATTTTAAAATATGGGTTGAAAATATAGGTATTGATTAGAATTTATATAAACTTTATACTATTGAAACTAGTACAGAACGCTTACTTTTTTTATTAAGTTAAAACTATTTAAATCATTTTTTTAATAATAAGGAATGCGATGAATAAGGATTTGTACTTTAAAATTTAACAAACTAAAATAACTGCAACCTGTTGAATTAAAGCGCGTTTCTTGTATAAATCAGCTTAAGAAAACATTTAAATAAGTAGTACTTCTGGGGTATCGACTAGTCATTACTTTGGAGCCCAGTTTATTCAGCGCTTTTCCTTTATGCTCAACGCTTTGTTTTGCGAACCCCGTTTAACCTTTTTCTATGTATTCCTTACTCAATTTCCCATTTTACATTTTCCATTTTCCATTTCTTTTTATGCCCCGGTCGCGTTCGCTTGTTTATTTTCCCTGCGCAGAACAATTGAAAATCGTTTTCGCCCACATCGCACTGGCCGACAAGGGCAATTGGTCCTGCGAAGCTGCTGATGGAGGGCTGCATAGTAAATCCTTCGATTTGATTGTGTACCGTAAGTGCTGGATTCGCCGGAGGCCGTAGGTCAGTCATTAATATTGCATTGTTTTCTTGCCCCCAAACGAACCAACCAACGAACGATTCAACGATTCAACGAATGAACGAACATATGTGCGAAAATGCTGGCCACGAACAGAGAAAATTACGTTCACGGAGAACGCCACCGTGATGACGGTCAAGGAGGGCGAGAATGCCACCATCCTGTGCGAGGTGAAGGGCGAGCCCCAGCCGAATGTCACCTGGCACTTCAACGGACAGCCCATCAGTGCCGGCGGTAAGAGTCCTGTCGATAATGAGCACTTCCCATTTACCATTTACCATTTTCCATTTCCCATTTTGCATTTCCCCCCTTCCCAACGAACCCAACTATATGCTCCTTGCCACTCCGTTCCATTTGCAGCCAGCGACGACTCCAAGTTCCACATCCTGGCCGATGGTTTGCTCATCAACAAGGTAACGCAGAATGACACCGGCGAGTACGCGTGCCGGGCTTACCAAGTCAACTCGATTGCTTCCGATATGCAGGAGCGCACAGTTTTGATGAAAATCGAACGTGAGTGTGATTTATGATTACCAAAAAAGCAAAAAAAGAAACAAACAGGGGAAAACAGGTGCACACTGGTTAAGGGAAACTAAATGAAGGATACTTTGTATTTTGAGATTTCTTAAGAAAGTATTTTTAAAACCTCTGATAAGCTTAAAAATTAAAATTTTGTTCTGCAAAAAATTAGAAAATTTTGTTAGTATAAATAATTTTAAATTATGGTTAAGAATAGTTCCTTTAATAAAGTGTAAGGGGAAGGTTTTAAATTTTTTAAAAATTTTTTTGTTTTTAAGCCCCAAAATTCCCAACCCCGTGTTTAGGGGAAAAAAAATTTTTATTTTATTTTTATATATATTTTATTTTTATTTTTTGAGAAAAATATGAAATAATTTTAAAATAAGAATGAATTAATTTAAAAAAAACCTAACGAGCCCAATAAAATAAATTAAATTAAAAAAAATACAAAAGAAATGATTTTTTAAAAAAAAAAAAAAATTAGAAGAAAAATTTAAATATCTATTTAATAGAAAGGTATTTTTTTTTGTTGAGAATAAATTGGAAAAGCTTTTTTTTTTTTTTTTTTTTTTTTTTTAAATATATACGAACATTATAACTACTTTAATTTATGAGGATAACATATTTAAATATTTAAGTATCTAAAAATTTTTTTACGGTATATATTTTTTTTTATTTTTATAAAATTTTTATAATATATTTGTTAATAAAAAAAAAAATTATTTTTTAAATATTAATTAATTTATTTTTATAATATTTGTGTGGTTAGTTTCCTTTTTGTAAATGGTTGAAAATTATATAAGGTTAGGGGATAAGAAGGTGCAGTGAGGAGGATGGTAAAGAGAGGGGGGTATCCGACAACACATATGGGACTTTGATTCTTTTTTTTTTTTTTTTTTTTGTTTTTTTTTTTTTATTTTTTTCTTTTTTTTTTGATTTTTAATTTTGTTTTTATTGGCAAAATAAATTTTGGGGTTAAAAATAATAATATTGGATTGGTGGGGATTTAAAGAAAAAACCTCCCACCCCAAAAGAAAAAGAGGGAGACCGGACCCTTTTAGCACCCGCCAAGGACAGATTCAAAAACTACCATAGAAAAACTTTGTTAAAAGGTAAAGTTTAAAAATATTTTTTTTTTTTTTTTTTTTAATAAAAAAAGGGGGGGGGCGACCGAGGGGGGGGTTATTGTGAGTACAGATTACCTCATTAAGACTCACCGATAGATAAATTCAATCTCTTTTCTTTCTTTCATTTATTTCAACTTTACTTAAGTCAAAATCTCTTATGTTGATTTTTTATTTATTATAGATAACAGAGCAAGTGAACATTAGTTTCCGTCTGGCCTTAATTAAAGTCCGTGTAAAAATTTTCCTTCCTTTTGTATGTGATGATAAGGAAAACTTAGTCTGAGGAAAATACAGAGAGTATCAAATTGCGATTGATCTTCTAGCCTTGCTGGGTTTACCAAATCACTACAATATTCACACTTACTAAATAAGTGCTTCTTCAAGCAGGCGTTCCGGAAAATAGAGGCATTGTTTTACTGAAGTGCCCTATCCACAGTTGACTTTTAGAAAGAATTATTTATAATTTTTCTTAGAAATTAGACTTATGTGAGTTGAGACTGGAACATAAGAACTTTTTTTAAGAATAACTTATCCGTTTCATATTGATTAAAGCCTTTTTTTTTTTTTATTTTTTTTATAAAATTTATTTTTTTTTTTTTTTAAAAAAATTAAATTTTTTTTTTTTAAAAAAAAAAAAAAACAAAAAATAAAAAAAAAAACAAAAAAAAAAAATTTTTTTTTGTTTTATTAAATTTTTTTTTTTTAATAAAGGGAAATTTTTTTCTTTTTTTTTTGTTTTTTTTTTAGTAAAAATATTTTTATTATATAAAGTTTTTATACTAAGAGTGGTTGAAATCTATATTTTTTTAAATATTTATATTATTTTTATAGGGAGAGTTAATATTGTGAGTGTAAATGATTTTTTTTTAAATATTTTATTTTTTTTGTTTCTTTTTTTTTTTTTTTTTTTTTTTTTTATTTAGTTTGTTTTTAAATATTTTTGTTTTTGTTTTAAAATTTTTTGGTTTTTTTTTTTTTTGGTTTAAAGCTTTTGTTTAAAGGTTAAAATTTTGGGTTTTAACTTTTTTTTTTTTTTTTATATTTTATTTTGTAATTTTAAAATTGGGGGGTAGAGGGTTCGCAGGGAAAGCAACGCAAGGGTGCAAGTTATGTATGTCAGTTATTTAAAGAAGAAATTATGGATTTAAAAGTTTTTTTTAAAACGATTTTCAAAAGCGTTTTATAAGAAATATTTGAGGAAAATTTGAGGAAAAGGGAAGCAGTATTTATGGAAGGTTTGTAGCCGGGGGTGGGCTTAAAAAAAGGGTTTCCAAACTAAATCCCATTGAAAAAGTGTATGGAAAAAAAAAATATATATGAAAGAAAAATGTTACTTAAAAGGTCCTGGTTAGTGGGAGGGGGTATTAATATTAAGATTAGGTTGGTAATGCCGTTTTGTTTTTATATTTTGCGTTTTGGTCTGAAGGGGCGTAGAGTGTTGCAGTGAAATTAAAGAAAGTTAATAAAAAATTAAAAAGTTTAGTTTAGAGAAATTATTCAGATATTAATATCCTAATTCGAGCTCCAATGAGAGGCAGATATAGCTCAACTCTTACACCCCCCTTTTCCGAAAAATTTATACAAAAAAAATATTAAAATACAAATTATTTTGGGTTCTTAAGTTCTCCAAATAATCATACATTTTTCCCTTTTAATTATTTAAAAAAAGGGGAGAATTTGTAATTATTGTAAATTAAAGTATTATAAATTATTTAGGATTAGGTATTTTTATTTAAAATTTTATAAACAGAGTCCAAGGGCTACCCTAAAGGAAATTAAGGAGTGTTTTCCGGGATTTGCAAAAGTGTTATCGTGGTATAAAGGGAAAGAATTTTTTTTTTTTTAGGATTTACCGTAAATTGAAAACCGTAGGAGTGTGTGATGTTTTTTTTATTTTTTAATTTTGCAAAATAGTCAAAATATTAGTATATTAGTGTAAAAAAAAAAAAAAAAAAAAAAAACCAAAAAATCTTTGATTGTTTTGATGATTTTTTAAATGTTTTAGACGTTTTGTTAGATGAATTAGGGGTCCGGGACACCTAGAAAAATTTGTCAAAATTATTAAAAAAAATATAAACCCCATAATTTGTTATATGTTGTTATTTTTTGAGTTTTTTACCGTGTGGAATTTAGGGAAAGTTGTGGGGGTTTTGAAAAGGTTTTCAAACCCCTGTCGAACACTGTAAAAAAAAAAATAAAAAAAACGAGTATAGCAGAAATTATTAAAGATTATTATAATCGGAATGTTTCCGAATTGGGTGGAATCTTAAAGTGAATTGGATTTGTCCTTGTTTTCTTGGATTGCCGGAAAGGCGGCAAAAAAGGCCAAGATTACTTATATTGGTTGTCCGTATTTTGTTTTTTTTGCGGATTGGGTAACCCCTAAAACCTAAAAGCCATAAGCGTTAAAAACTCAAAAACCTTAAGTCCCAGGCCGTTGTAAAACCCCAAGTTTAAAAAAAAGTCTTTTAACCCCTCAAATATAATCAACTATTCCGAACAAATGTTAAGCCCCATTACTAACTTCCCCGGCCCCCCCAAAATATAAAAATTTAGTTTCGGCTTTCTTTTTAATTTTAAAATTAAACATTTACTTTAAATTTTTACTTTTTTTTTTTTTTTTCTTAAAAAATTTTGAAATCCTTAAGCCGGAAGGAATAAAATTATTAGGTTTTGGTATAATTTTTTGGGTGTTTGGGTTTAGATATTTTTTTTATTTCTTCTGGCCTAAGGAATTCAGAGATCCATTTCTTTTTTTTCCTTTTTTTTTTTTTAATTGTTTTGTTTTGGGGTTGCTGGGGCCGGGGGCAAATTATGTTGTAGGGGAGTAGATTAAGGAAAAAGGGTTATGATAATGAATACAAAATATTTTTTATAAAAAATAAAGCCAAAAAAAGAAGAAGGACCCCCAAAAAAAATAAGAGAAAGAAGAAATTGAAGAAAAAAGAGGGAAAAAAAAAAATAATTTTTTAAATTAACCTAGTTTTTTATTTAAAATTTTTTTTTTTTTTAGGTTTTTTTTTTTGAAATGTTTTTCCCATACACCCCAAAATATTTAATTTAGGGAATTAGAATTTTTTTTTGTGTTAAGCAAGAAGGAGGAAGTTCAACACCACTTGTTGTCTGGGGAGAAAAAGGGGTTGGGAAAGTTTATTAATTTTTTCCCGTTCTTTACGGGGGGAGGACTTGGAAAAAAAATTTAAAAACTTTTGGAATTGGTGGGGGGGGGGCGAAGCATAAAAAACCGCCCTTTTTTCGTGTGGGGTTTGGGGTGGGAAAAGTACGCCGAAATTAAATGGATATTATATTGGAAGTGGTGGAAGTTTAGGAAGGGGCTGGGTCTTCCTTTTCCTTTTTGTTAATAATTCCGAAAAATTTAAAATTTTTTTTTTTTTTAGAATGTCCAAAAGTTTAAAGGTTAAAAAAGAAAACGCATTCCCGATTCCCAGAATTTTGAATTTTTTTTCTTTTTCATAAAGTATATTTTTTTTTAAGTTGAAAGTTGATAATTGGTTGTGGCCTTTAGATTTAAATTTTAATTATAAAACTAAGTTTACATTTCCGTCCCGTTTTTTCTTTTTTTAAGTTAAGGTTTTGCCTTTTGGATAGCCAAAGGTACAATTCTCGGTTGCTTACTGGACAAAGTCGTTCCGGGCCTCTAAGAAACGAAATCTTCGTTTATTTAGACGATCTTCTTGGGGTTTCCTCCAACTTTTAAAGTCCTTTTGACGTTCTCAGAGAGATCGTTTTTTAAACGGCGGGATGGATAATTAATAATTGTAAAAATAATTTCTTTCTGCCACGGGGGGGTTTTTTTGGCCCTTTTTTTGGGGGTGGGGGAATCCCAAAGATCTTTTTAAGGTCTAAAAAATTTTCGAATTTTTTGTTTTTAAAAATTTTAGGAGTTTTGGGGTTTTTTGGGTTTTTTGGGGGTGGTATCGCATATTTTTTCTAATTTTTGCCTTTTTGCCTTCTCCCTTCCCCCACTTGATTTGGAAAAAAAAACGTGGGTTTTTTTTTACTCTGAAACCCTTAAGGCCTTCGGAGGGGTTAAGGGTTGTTTTTGGTAAGCTCGGTGGTGGGGGTGGTTTTTTTTTGCCATCGCCTCCCCTTGTTTTGTTAGCCAAGCGGGTGTGGGTGCGGTCTTGTTTTGATAATCTTAAGGAGAGGGGGGTCCGAAAGCTTTATTTCTTAATAAGAAAATCGTGAGCCGAGAAAAAAAAATAAAACAATAAGTGATTAGGAGGTTTAGGAGGCATAGAAACTTTTAAGAATTTAGGGGAAGACCAGGAATTAACCATATTCACCAATACACCTCCCAAGGCTCGGGCCAACGTCAAATTATTTCTTTTTTTGTTGGGGGGGTTGTTGGTCTTTAAGTTTTCAATTTTTTTTTTTTAATATAAAGGTTCTTTAAGGTTCTTTAACCACTCTTTGTGCGTTTTCCGCGTATGGGGGGGGGGAGTTGGATTTTTTTGAATTTTTGTGGGTTGTTTTTTATTTAAAATTCTAAAATTTTATTCGTATCAAAATTTGGTTGGAAGGTTTCGTTAAAAAAAAAAAGTTTCCCCTGAGTTAAAAAAAGAGAAGACGGCTATGTTTACAGAAAAGCAGAACATTAAGGGGTAAAGGTTTAGGGTTAATTTATGTGTAAATTTTAGATATCCAGAAAATTTTTATCCTTTAATTCCATCTTCAAACACTTTTTTGGCCTTTGGCTTCCGGTGGTGGATTAGATAATAGTTTGGGGGGGGTTATATTATTTTCTTGGCCCCTCTTTTGGGCCCGAAATTAAAGGATTTTTTAATGGTTGGGAAAAAAAAAAACAACCAAATCACCAAATCAAGTTCTCAGACGACTTTAGGAAAACCCCCATAACTTTGGTTTTTTTCGAATTTTTTTTTATTTTTTTGTTTGTTCCCTCCCTCGAGAGGGGGGTGGATTGGTTTTTTTTTTGTTTTCGCTTTTTTTTTTTTTTATATTTTTATTTTTAAATTTGTAAGAAAAATGATGGTTTTTTTATAAAGTAGGTTTAGCGAGAGAAATTTTTTTTAAATTTGGTGTTCCCAAAACTTTCGTTACAAAAAACGGGTCAAAATTCCGTTTTTGAGGCTTTCGAAAATTTTAAAGAGGAACAAAATTTCACCCCCGCTAACAGGTGTTCCCTCGCCTCAGGCCAACGCTTCGGGGGCGTATATCGTTTTTTCCTTTCCGGTTTTGGAAGGGTTTTTGGGGTCTTATTAAAAAACTGGGGTTAGTATTTGAAAAAAGATAGTTGTGCCTTACGATCTTCGTTTCATTCTAGTATTGGTACCAAAATATAATTTTTGGGTTTTTAGAGAGTGTTTAGTTCCTTAAGAATTATGTTTTGTTAAGAAAAATAAATTAAATAAGCTAACCGCCGCTTTTTTTTATTAAATAGGATGGTTTCTTTAAAATACGTGGCGAAGAAGGTATAAAGGAAAAGAGGAAAGGTCCGGATCGAAACGAAAAATACCTTTTTTTTAAAAGGTGTCTTTTTGGGGGAGGAAGGGGGGTTTTTCGTGGTAAATTCAAGAAGAGGTGTTTTTAAAAAGGTTGTAACAAAAATTTTTTCCTCCCTTCGTAAAAGCGCGCGTAATAAGGAAGGTTGGGTATTATTAATAAGGGGTTGAAGATTTGCAAGGGGGGACTGTTGGGTAATTATCACGCCAAAGACATTCGCCAATGACGTCACTCAGGCGGTATCAGCCAGGGGTATATAAAATAAAATTTCTTTTTTTTATTGCGGCAAGGGTTTTTAAAGGGGCCTTTAAGGGCCAAGTGATTTTTTTCGGCCGTAAAAGTTTAATATAAATTAAAGCTAAGCTATTATTTGGGTAATAGCTTATTTATTTATTTATTTAGTTAATAAGGAGTAAAAGTGGAGCTGGTTTTCGGTTTCAGGTATTTGGTTTTATAACGTACCCGACCTTCCCACCCCACCCTCTCCCTATATTTGCAAAAAGTTCTTTAAGGGATTTTCTTCCGATTGGAGCCGGTTTGGAAATTTTTCCCACTTTTACAAAATTTTTTTTTTTTTTTTTTTATATATTATATTTGGAAATAGTGGAAAGAGGAAAAAGGGCTAAGCGCCTAGCTGAGTTGTGTTTTATTTTTGTTTTTGATTTTGTATTGTATTGAAAGGGGTAGAAGTTTTTTTTTTTTTCAATCCCAACCTTTTCTTTTCTTTTTTTTGTTTTTTTTTTTTCCCGTGGGCCTCTATACAGCGGCATTGGGGGGGCTCCCCTAAAAGAAAGTGGGGGCATGATTTAATATCGTGCCCCAAATTAAATCGGACAAGAAAAAGGGGAGTTTCAACTGGGATGAAAATCGAACGTGAGTGTGATTTATGATTACCAAAAAAGCAAAAAAAGAAACAAACAGGGGAAAACAGGTGCACACTGGTTAAGGGAAACTAAATGAAGGATACTTTGTATTTTGAGATTTCTTAAGAAAGTATTTTTAAAACCTCTGATAAGCTTAAAAATTAAAATTTTGTTCTGCAAAAATAGAAATTATGGTAAGAAGACTTAATTAATTTTTTACAACCAATAAACAATTCTTCGATTTTGTAATGCCACTTTTAGGGTACCTTCTTGTTTATTTATTGAATTTTAAAAATATTGTCTTACGTAGGATTTTTTTGTAATACGGTTTCTCGCACACAAGTCACATTTTCCGTTTCATAAATTATAAATTATTTGCAACTTTTTGTGTGAAAGAAAGCCCAATGTTTGCCGTTCAAATTACTTGAGCTCCGTTCTGTTGTTTCCAAGTTTGGGGGCTCTAAATTCTGCGGTGGCGCTTAGTATGCGATGCACTGAGCGGTAAATAGTTTCTGAGCACGAAAAACGCTGGAATTACATTCGCTTTTGATGGATCCCGCTGTCGGCCGGTGTTCCTGATGTGTGGCAAGTGGGCGTGGCGCACATGCAGCTAATGGCTCAACTTGGCCGGGAACTGATTTATGGTTAGCGGACATGGTTTTTCCATTTCGATGGCCTACCTTTGAGCGCCGCCAGTTTGACAGCCAAAGATTTTTGAGCTTTGTGTAGGAACAATTTGCAGGTTAATTGGGTTTTAAACAGTTCAATGCATTTCCCAACATTAATAGCATATTTTGTATGAGAAATATTAGGAAAAGATTTTAATTTAGAGGCAAGAAGGCCTAAAAAATAAATGATGGTAAATCTGTTATGGTTCCTTTGCCTTTTTATTATGTGGACTTTTTTAGTTTTGCTAAGACTTATTTTTACAAAATAAAATCTACCGTTTTGGCTGGTTTTTGCAACTGTTAAAGATTTCTATTGGCCCCTGATTTTTCCCTGTGCAGATAAGCCCGTTTGGTCGAAGGCGCCGTTCGTCAGCCTGCAGTACGCGTACATCAACGGCACGGCGACCATCATGTGCGATGCGCTGGCGGAACCGCCGGCGAACTTCACCTGGTACCGCAAACACAAGACACTGCACAGCAACAACAAGCTCTACACCATCGAGACGGACAGCTACTGGTCGCGGCTCACCATCCACGTGCTGAACAGCAGTGCCTTTGATTCTTACAGGTGTCGGGCCAAGAACGATCTGGGAGCCATCGAGAGAATCACCAAGTTGGAGCAGGGCGACAAGCCACCGGCTCCGGACAACTTCGCGCTGCGCGGCTTCAACTCGAACACCTTCGACATCGTCCTCAGTGCGCCACGGGGTCCGGCCAAGAGTCCCATGGGGGTGAACGGGTTCCGCATCGAGTACATGACCGAGATGGAGTTCAAGTCGGACGCCGGCAAGTGGCACAACGCCCACCGGAAGGACTATTCCTTCGAGGAGGGTGAGTTGATAGAACTAGTCAAAAATATGGCTTATAATACATTTGATATATATACAGTCCGTTACTACAACGACACATTGGATACAATGACACATCGCTGTGTGTTTTAAACTATATTTAGTTTAAATATATTTTATTAAATGAAGAAAACAACATTACATTATATGTATTATCAATAACCAAAATGTTTTAATAGTAGTAAAAATTCAATTAAATTAAATGTGAGTCTGAACTATCTTTTTTTTTTTTTTTTTAAGGAGCAACTTTCCTTTTGACCAACCTGGAACCGGACACGAATTACCTGGTGAGGGCGGCATCCCGCAACGTGGCCGGATTCAGTGACTTCACCAAGGTGGAGAAGTACCAAACGGGGACCCTGGAGCCGCGATCCTCGTCGGGTGTCCTCTGGAAACCCACGATCCTCCTCCTGGCACTGATGACGCTGATGGGAACGAACCTTGGATGAATCTGAATCTGCAGGCCAGAAACCAGAAAACATAAAACAGGAAACTGAAACCCTTAACCCCAATGTGCTTTGTATAGTGTAAGGCGTGTCCACGGGGACACTTTTTTGTCTAATTTGCTCGGTCTAAGTGTTTGGGTTAACTATTAGGTTCAGCCCAAAAACAGGGTTACGTTTAAGTTTAGTAGGTTTCTTTCTAGCTTATAACGCTTCCACTCGAACTATTATTACGGAACACCTATAGGAATATTTATATATTTAAACAAATCCTCATAGCGGTTAATGAAATTAAACGGTTTGCTGGCCTTGGCTCTCTTAAAGCTTTGCTCAACTTTCCCCTCTGTGAAAATTGTAAATTAGCTCACATCATTATGTTAACTTAAGTTTCCCTGCTGAGCTTAAGCCTTTGCTAAAGAAATTCTATTGCCACAGAATCTCAGATATAATCAGAGAGTAGCCAAAGTAAATTATTATTCTTTCATCCAAAAAGAATAAATATCTATACAAATAAAAGACATCTTTAAAATAAACTACATAACATTTTCACACAATCCATCAAACGCATCAAACTTTAAAGAGTTTTACGAAAGAGCTTAATAAAGCATTTAAAGGTTTATCGCTATACTAAATAATTTTTTAAAATTCAAAATCGTCAAAGCAAACATTTTTACATGTGCATTTTCAGAGCTAAAAATAGAGAAAACATTCGTTTGTAAAAATATCCATAACGTATCTACCACAAAACAAAGGACAGACAAATAACCGTTGCCATACACAAAATCAAAAATATATTTTACAAATATAGTTTATACCCAAAAAATATATATATTTCAGACTAATATGCGGTAAGATGAAAACCAAAAGACCTAGCCAAAGATAAAAATATTTTGTGGTTTCCGCTTGCCAATTGTGTGTGAGCCAAAATAAAAAGTTATTATACAAAAATTTGAATTAATCATTTACTTTTGGAACATTTTCTGATGGTAAGTTAAAAGGCAAGGGAAGTTTTTGTTTTGAACTATCGACATTAGTTGGCCTAGCTAGTAATGCTTTTATTTCAATTGACTCATTTCACTTTCGGCCCAAATTGGATAAATTACAAAATTAAAAATTCCTGCATAGAATGAATAGAAAAATTCCATATTTTAGTCAGAACTCAAATCAGCCGCTAGGTGCAGATTTTCACTTGGATGAGCAGATGTTCCTTAAATGGCAGAACAACGGGAAATCTAAAACGAATCTGAGTAAATAAACAAACATGATTTTTCTAGGAGATATTAATAGAATTGTCTGAATGTAGGTTCCGACCGAACGTACAATCGGTACGTTAAAACCCTGCTTCGAGTGCAAAATTCCATTCACAGAAGATTCCCTCCGAGAAGAACTAAAAGTTCTCATGACCATCGGAGCCGCACTTCAGGTGGAGAATGCTCCAAGGGCTGCGGGGAGTCGGAACCAAAAAGAGTGGCTGTTGTCAGGCCGAAGCAAAAGAATCGCCCTGTGAAACCGCTAAATCTGATTGCTGCTCGAAAGATAAATCTGCGGAATCTTGCGGCCATGGCAAAAATAAATGTTCGAAAAAAACAAAGCCGGAACCGACAAAGTCCACATGCTGTGATGCAACTGACCCAAATCTCAGGAAATGTGTGACCTTTGAAAAGCCGGTGGCCAAGGAATTTCCAGATTGTGATCCTCCCTTTGGCGGCTGCCCGTGTTTGGAGTCCACAGAGTACTCTTCCTGTCCAATCAGCGATTGCTGCGATGAGGAACCACAGGTAGTAGTCCAAAGAACTTCTTGTAAAGATCCACCAAAGCGAAAGTCCAGTTTCTCATGTTGCAGTTGTTGTAAAAAACGGAAATCCCCTTCCTGTCCAATCAGCGATTGTTGTGAAGAGGAACTGCAGGTGGAAGTCCAAAGCACTTGTGGTAAAGAGCCGCCGAAGCGAAACTCTAGTTTCTCATGTTGCAGTTGTTGCAAAAGACCTAAGATTGTGGTGCCTTCCGATGGGGGAATCAGGTCTGAGTCAAAACTTGTCCACAAGGATCATTCCCAATCACAACATTCTAAGCCAAATTCCAAAGGAAAATTTAAGTCAAACACTAAAAATTGTTCGGCGGATCATCAGAAATCACATGCCAATTCGAGTTGTAATGAAGTGAACAAGGATCAGTGTCATTACTTCCATTTGTCAGAGAAACCTCATTGCTCATCGAAGCCACCGCCATGTGGAAATTGTCCCGACATTTCGGATTTGTCCAAGCAGTTGTGCGAAATGAACAAAAAGTTGGAAGGCATTCAGAGTCAGGAGCTGGGCGACATTCGTCACCAGGTAAAATGTCTTACTTCCAACATGGAATCTCTGGCTAAGAAGTGCGTTGAAAGCAAGCCACCCTGCCCGAAACTAAAAAGAAAAGCCTCGAGCACTTGCCAATTTTGTCGGGGAAAAAGCCTGCCGCTCCTCGACAGTTTCCTCTGCCAGTTGAACGACGCGATTGGCAGTCTTTGCAAATCGGATGTCCTGATCTCCGTATTCCTGCGAGCAGATAATGTGTACCACCTGAACTTGAGGGATCTCAACTCAGGAAAATCACTTGGTTGTTTCCTGGTCAGCGATTGCGGAATAGAGGAGGCCCTCAAAATGGGCATCTTCAAGGACATACTCACCTTGTCTGTGATCGATGTGCGCAACACCATCAAGCCGAAGAACTGTCCCTTGGGCATATCCTTTGAATTCCACTACGCGGATCGCCAGAGCGGAGGTTCCGACCTCAAAACTCGAAGGAATTGCAGGGCGGGCGAGGAATGCCTGGCTTGTGTTCTGGGTATTCCACTGAAGTCGATGAAGTACGTCTACTCCGTACCGCAAGTCCCTGAAGGAAGTTCCGGTAGTTCTGCTCCAGATCAAACCCTTTTCAGGCATCAGAAATTCCTGTCTTCAGATAAGGTCGCCATCCTCAGTGATAAATTAGTTTTAACCGATGACGATGACAATTATGTTGTGGATACACTGGAAAGACCTTCACTTTCAGACCTCGAAAAAAACACTTAGTTATGGAAATTAAATTCCTATGCAGTTTATTTTACCTTTTTAAATGAGTTTTCAGCTAGTTGAGGCCACATAATCATACTTTTTTTGGTCAAAGGAAAGCAAACAATTGCCTTGGAAAAACAGTACTGATTTGTTGCCCTGATTTCGAGCGTAACCCCCTCTTGGACTTTCCGCAGTCGGTGGACCGCATGCAAAACTGTTCATTTGGTCAAAGAGCGCGTTTTGTCAATCAGCCACGTCAACGGGGCCCAAATGAAAGGCCCGCATCTGCGTTTGAACCAGGAAACTTTGTGGGGCTTTTGGGAAGGGAAATAGGAGAGTAGGGGAAGTGCGATGACAGCCGCATAAATCAGTTAAATGCCAAACGTCGGATGCGGATGTATGTGTAGATGAGGATGCGGATGCAGATGCGGATACGAATGCGGATGTGCGTTGCGTCTGCGGCAACGGGTAGCATATTGTTCGAAGTGACTTTTATTGCACGACCGCGCGTTAAATATTTTCCTGTGCTCGCACATCGGACATGGATGCCCCTCATCATTCTGGCCGAAACCAATGACATCTGCCCTTTGCCATCCGCATCACAATGAGCCATGATCGCGAGCCTTATTTGGTGGGCAAACAGACGCAGTTCAAAACAATTGTCCCGCCTTTTAATTTTGCAATGGCAATGCACCAAAGGGTTTGCCTTTGCCCGTTGGCTTATGAACCCCATAGCACGCAATATCAACACTTTAAGTCAACAGTTTGAGTCATGACAGCTGCAGAAAAACAAGGAAAACGAGGAAAAACTGTTGGAAAAAATCAGCATTCCGCCATTTTAGGCCTTTAACCGCCAACCGTTTGGCAAGTGGGTCACTTTCGCACGGGCTTTTAGAGCACATCAACGCTTGGCCGCGTTTATTTTTTCGCTCCGCCAACGAAAACCATCTGCAACCGGCTCGATAGGGGGTAAGTCCATTCTACCAATGCAATTTCCATGTCAGCAGAGTTTTCCGCTTTTTTCGCATATCTGTTTCGTTTCATTTGGCTTATCGAAAGTTAAGCCTTCAACATTTTTCACAACGCACATGAGAGATCTGGCTTTAAATGAAAATCATTCTTTGTTTGGGAACAAAAAGAAACTTTGTGTAGGAAAAATATAAAACCATGTTTGAAATTTATTTTCTTACCCACTTGGTATTTTATTTTATTTGTGACACTATTTTTGCTGGCATAAATTATAATAGCAATATTTAAATATATGTTGAACATCCTTCATTGTCATTAACATTAATTTATCGTTCAATTAGCATTCCTAGAGCAGTTTTGTGTTTATCTATTATCACAATGAACGTGTTAAGCTGGCGAAATAGTTCCTTTCCGCCAAATAATCAGCATGCAGATAGCGATACGAAGATTCAACAACATTTACCTGCCCATAAATACACGCTTAACACGTTTGTAATCGGGCTAACTTGCATCATTAGGAATTCCATCAGTGCTTCATTCTCCCTCCGGAATGTTCTACATTTTCTCCACTTGGTTTTCCGCGATTTTCCGCTCGTTGAGTTTGCTTGGCCACGGGAATGAAACTGAGGATGTGGATGGGAATTGGAATGGGAGTGGGAATGGGAATGCCTTTGCAACAACCGCACACCGTGTCAATAAATGAGCGGCAAGCATTAAAATGTAATTTTTTAATTACACACAAAAGATTTAATGACTGCGGTGGTAATAACACACAACAGGCGGTGCCACGCCCCCCAGACCCTGTGGCCTCCAGCCCCTTTTTGCAGCGCTTAATTACATAAAGCTGAGCACAAGACTTTCCACGGGCGAGTGTAAAATCGAGATAATAAGAAAATGGCGAAAATTAAATTGTTCTTCTGTGCGCGCCAAGTGACCAATTAAAGCGAACGGCAAAGAGTCCTGGCTTCCTTGTTCCCCCCGAGGCTTATATCCTTGCTGCAGAGCTCCTTGCACTCCGGCTTATTAGCCGCCGAGATTTGCTTGAAGTATTTGTCCCTGCCTTCCGACTCCTGCGTTTGCTTAGCAATAAAAATCATTTTCCGCTTTCTAATGATGCCGCAGAAATGCGGAGGCGGCCAACTAAATTACCGCCTCCGGCGGCCTTTCAACATTCGCCAGTCAAGAGTCGGGATATCGTATATATATTTATATATATATGTGGGTATATATATGGAGTAGAGGCAACCCACTCGGCACACAGCTTCGCACAGATGGAGTCGTAAATAAAAGTTGCTCCGCAAACTAACTAATATGCCAGAAGAGTCGGGCCCACAAATCTTGTATAAAGTAAATGCATCGGCACCGCCCTCGTCCTTCGTCCTTCGTCCTTTCCCTTTTCTGGTCGTTTCACTCGCTGTTGCTGAATGTTTCGTGTGTTTGCTGTTTGTTGCCAACACACTAATTACCGCAATTAATTATGCTGCCTGTGGAACGGAGTACGTCCAAAAAAGGGGCCCAACGGGAGGCCACTACAATTCGCCCATTGTTGGCCTGCTTTTCGGACTTGCAACTTTAACTGCTGCTTTCGGGCTTTTTTGTGTGACTCTGCGCACATTTTAGGTGGCTTTTCAGCCTTTGTCTCAAAGCGCATATCAAATGTTATGTTGCCAACTCAAGGGGGTACAGGAAGCAATTTAAATCGTTTAGCCAAACGATTTTAACAGCATTACAGCAACAGCATATGTTGCCACTCAAAACATTTGAAGCTGAACAAGCTTAATTTAATAAAGCCGATTATGGCAACCATTTAAAGTAAGAGGGTGTCATGATATTTAAAAGTGTGTCAAGGAATAAATATGTGTGAGCTCTGAAATTATTTAAAAATTGAATTAAATTAAACACTTTAATTGAATACTTTAACAGGGGAATTTAAAGAGTGTAATTGAAAAGCCCATTTGATTTAAATTCCTTGAATGGAAATGCTTTTTAAAAAAGACTTTATTTAGAAAAAGGTTTCACTCGCACTTGCTATCCAGCTCTCTGTAAAGGTTCTATCAGATAAATGTCTCTTAAAATGGATCAGAGCCATGCACTCCAAAGCTTCTATTGATACTTAAATTCCACTAAACTCAGAGTGTGTTCCAACTAAAAGGGATTTAAATAAAATTTCCATTTGCCCAGTGCCGAATCGCCGAGCGACCATTAAGCAAATCAAAAGCTATTTCGGAGAAACAATTTCGCACTTCTCGGGCAAATGGCAGAACATGCATAAAAATTGAAAATTATGTTCGAAATGCACTCAGCAACAGATGGAGTTCCCCGGGTGGCAAGTGGGGATTCTCTCTCTCTTTCAGTTTGTGCCACGTTTGTTTCTGTCAACGCAATGAAGTGCAACATTTTGTATACACACCACATGAGTGTGCCAGTCTGGCTGTCTGTTGCTTTATGCCAATGCTGTGGCAACACGAACTCAAAACTAAACTAAACTAAACTACATTACGTACACAAGCAAGCACCTTTGGAACGCCACTTCATATTGTAAATTCGGTAGAAAATATTTTTAGTGTCGCCAGGATTTCCTGCTTCCATCGTTGTCCTGGCAGGAACTGCCATTGTTGCTCGGCTCCTGTTCCTGTTTCTGCTCCTGCTTCTGCTTCCAATCCCAATTCGAATCCTGAGCACTGAGCTCTTTGTGGCTGAGAGTGCTGGCACCTGTTTGCCCGGCCACCTTTTGTGGTGCCCGGTGTCCTGGGGATCCTTTGTATGCATCCTAATGCAATCCTTGTTACTGCGTTTGTTTGATTGCTTCCGCATTTGGCCACAGTGTGCTGGCTGCGAATTGTTCGCTTTAATTAGTGCGCATTTAGGTGGTCAGTCAGCAGTCACCAGGTAAATTCACTTCTAGAAATCAAGGAGAAGATTCAGCAAACAGAACCTATTGGGTAAGAGGAACTTGGCAAGTCAGCAACTTTGGGTTCTTAACCTAAAGATCAGAAAGTTGAATGAAATACTTTTTATTAAATACAAGCCTTTTATTCACATTCAAGCAGCTGTTACAATCTTTAAAGAAAATATTAAGATAACATTAAACTTCTTCCCTTTAAATCAATACTCCACTGCAAGTTCCAACATAAATCTTCTGAATAAAATATAAAAAATAGGAAATCTTCCCAGTTAATTTGACCCACTCGAATTGGCCCGTATTAAATTGCTGAATTTTGCGCTCGCCTGTTACCCTGTTAACTTGCACACTCATGGCTCATGGCTCCATTCGAGCCCTATTTACTCGGGGCATAAACAAGCTGCACGAACAGCTGCACTTGACTAAACAATACACAACTTATGGGCGAATATCCCGGCACAACAGACTCCAGTTTGAGCTGAGGGACTCCAAATTCGATTTCGAGCCAGTCGCACTGGAGTGGACGGCCAGGCCCGAAGTTCGGCGAGGATATGGCGATATGTTTTCGGAGCAAGTGGCAAGTGGCCGGGGGCAAGGGGCAGGAACAACAAGAGGCGAAAGTTGCAAGATGGGGAAATCCCCGGCTGGCTGCACATGATTTGGCCGAGTTGTCGCTCAAGCACGCAGCCAATCAATATCAATCGCAATTCGATTTCAATTTCAACTTGAAGCCAGAAGTCAGCGGATTCTGTCGTCTGGCTTTGGCCTTTGGATTTGAGAAATAGCAGAGTGCACTTTGCGCAGTTGCCAGTAAATTACTTTGGGGAGATTTGTGTGCTGCAACCGAGGGCGACTGGCGTTTATAATGAGCAGCTGCAGCAGCCACTGGGATTCCCGATTCCGATTTGTGGATCTGGTTTGGCGTGAATTCGCGCAAGATTTGTTGCCATCAAACGAGCGTCGAAATTCGCCCGTGATTAATGCCGAAAATGCTGCGTTTCCCCCGCCCCGTCAAAGTGACGAATGTGAAGGAGGTGGACCCACCCGCAGGTGGAGCAACAGGCAGCCGATTATTAATGGTCCTCGAAACTCCTTTGGCAAAAGAGCGACATGCAAATTGCAAAACTTGCTGAACTCCCGCCACCGTCAACTGGGGAACTGTACAGGCAGCCATCA